AGAACATCAGACCAACTTGGGGTTCACTGGGAAAAGAACTAGAGTAAGAAGAGAGGTCAAATGGAGGATTTGTTGAGTTGGTTTATTTCTACCAATGGCACCAAATACCCTGCAGTTTTACTCTGAATCCTTCTGGAGAACATGGACACTTGTGCTTAAGCCCCACCTCTACCTACAGACCAAACAGGGCTTCTGCCATCTATCTGCCCCTTAGGCAAAACACTAGATGATTACTTTAAGAAAACTTAAGGAAACTGCTGGAGAACGTGAACAAATCCAACTTTTGTGTTGGAGCACAGGTTAGACAGCGCTTGGCTCACAGCTTAAGCAAAATTCAGCATCAGTGTGTCCTACAGAGCAACCACTGAGAACCAGTATCCCTTACACAATAGCATGGCGGACAATCAGGGGTCCCCAATGGGCCCATGTGGTCCTCCTGAAGTAGACAGCACAGGAGCAACACAGGAAAACCCCTTTGGGGAAAGGCTAGTGAAAGAGAAAGGGCAGGAGCCAGACTGGGCAGGACAGCCTCAGGCCACGGTGCAAGGAGGCACTGGTGGGAGGGTTGGGGCTGGCAGAAAAGAGCCCCAGGCTGTGGGCACAAGCACGGCCCACGGGGACCCAGAGCACAGACAGTCCCACATCTGCAGACATGCCCAGCCTACGCCCAGTTCTGCTTGTCCCCCTGGAAGCAACCCTGAGTGACAGCGATTCTCATGTTGAAGTGTGCAGCAGGTGGGGACTGTCAGGCCCTGTCCCACAGCAGACCTCTGGAAGCACCAAAAAGCTTCACCAACAGCCTGGAGTCAGGCTCCATGGGGCCAGTGGTGTGGCCGTGCAGGGGGCGGAGATTCCTTTCTGCATGTGCACCTGTTGGCACAGTGCCTGGGGTGACAGCACTTTCTGGTTTAATGCTTATTGGATATCAGAAGGATGTTCTTTATCTACTACCATTTTAGAGAGGGGTTGGGAGAACAGTTTTAAAATTTCACTCCCCCTAAAACACCAATATCTCTCAGCACCATCTAGGTATCAATCCTCAACTGTAAGTTACAATGAGTGCAGCAAAACACGAAAAGTAAATCAAAGGCACACACACTTGGAAGAAATGAAAGTGTCTCTGTTCATTTATGTAGTGATGATCTATGTAGAAAATGCCAAAGCAAACAAACAAAAACCCTGGAAATAATAAAAATCATGTATAATAACAAAATTGTAAGATACAAGGTTAAAATTAAAAAGATAGTTTCCTGGGGCTGGGGTTGTAGCTCAGTGGTAGAGCACTTGCCTAGCATGCGTGAGGTACTGGATTCTATCCTTGGCACCACATTAAAAAACATAAAATAAAATAAAGGTATTGTGTCCATCTACAATTAAAAAATCATTTTTTTAAAAAATATAGTTTTCTATATACTTTGAGAAAAATTGATATAAAATACACAGTATCACAACAGTAAACATCATTGAATTCTTAGGGATAACTCTGCAAAAGATGTCCAGAATCTATAAGCAGAAAAATCAAAACTTTAATGAAAGAAGTTAAGAACTGGTGTAAATGGAATGCCAGAATATCAACTTAGGTCCTTAAAATTTTAAAGTTTACTCACACAGACAGGAATTCATGGACCACAAGTGTTTCTGGGCTGCACCAAGGCACAGGGAAAACCATTTACAGGGTGAATGTGGTAATAAAGCAAAGAAAATATTTGCTTGGTTAAAGTGGAGCAATAGCCTTTTGAGATCATTTCAGTGGAAAGCCCCTAGAGACTTATGATCTGAATCTCAAATCATCAAGATTCAGATCATAAGTGTCTAGAAACAGGGCAATTTATAAGCAAATAAGAAAATCTCAGTTTTGTTTATGAAAATCATGCTTTGCCAAATTGCTGAATTTTTAAAAAATTCAGCCAATGGTATGATCTTAAAAGTTATCAGAAGCTTGTACTTTTCCACAAATTTCCTTCAAGGCAAGACTTTGAGAAATCTTTCAAGAAAGCATCAGAGTAAAACAACTTTTGTGGATGAAAAAGTCTTAAAATGGCCAGGACTAAACAACAGATCACAGTTCATTATAATGAAGTTGACAAGGAAATGTGGTTGCTTTATGCTTTAAAACATTGAAGATAATAAATATGACTAGTAACATCAAAAGCAGACATATCAGATTTCTAGACATTCCATGCAGTTTCCAGAACACCTATTAGTAATATGTATCCATGCAAATATAGCCCAGAGGACACATCATCTCTTCTTCACTGTTTCCCATACAGTTTGACCCATCAGGTAAGTCCAATTAGTTTAATCTCTCTCTCTCTTTCTCTGTCTGTCTAGTCTCTCTCTCACTCTTTCTCAGTACCAAGGATTGAATCCATAAGTGCTCAACCACCGAGCCACATCCTCAGCCCCTTTTCATTTTTTATTTTGAGGCAGGGTCTTGGTAAATTGCTTAGGGCCTTGCTCAGTTGCTGAGGCTGGCTTTGAACTTGCAATCCTCCTGCCTCAGCCTCTGGAGCCTCTGGGATTGCCACTCACCCAGCTAATATCATTTTTGATAAGAAGATGAAACAAGTTCTTCAAGATCATCCAGGGACCTATGTAGAAAATCCTAAAGTTAGTTCAAGGTCAAAACAACTTAGTTTGGAGTTTGATTTTGAGAAGTTTGGACAGGGTCATTTTGACTTTTTTTCTCATCCGATCTTCCTGTCCGTAAACGTGGCTGTGTGCTTCCATGTATTTGTGTCATCTTTAACTTTTCACGGTGCTTTGAGTTTTCCTGGTACGTCTCTCAGGAGTGAGCATGGCAGTAAGCAAAGGAAGCAGCCTTGAGCGTGAGCCACCTGGGAGGGAGAAGCAGGGCTCTCCTGGCCTCCACTCTGACACTCTCTCCTGGTTAACTGGGATTCTGTTTGGGGAGAAAGGCCGTGGAGGGGAGGTGACATTTCTGTCTTTTATCAAGGGTTCTGTCCACAAGGCTCCACGGCTGTTGCTGTCCTCCGTTGCCAGATGGGGAGTGTGCCAGTGTCCCCCTCCACAGTCACTCTTTCCCCTTCCTATGGGGAAGGTCCCAGCCAGCCCTCAGGAGTGGTGAGCAGCGCCACCTTCTGGAGGCCAGAGTATACACATGAATTATTTGGAGCTCTTCTGCATGGCAAAGTTGTCTTTTCTCCCTAAGTGGCTTATTTATTTACTTATCTATCTATCTGTCTATTATCTATCTATCTATCTATTTATCTATCTATCTACCTACCTATTTATGTATGTATGTATGTATCTATCTATCTATCTATCTATTTTATCAGAATGGAAGTTTGATTTTGGTTAGGATTCCCTGTTGTCTCATTGACTTGTTGCCCGGGTTAACCCAGCCTTGGCCACTGGGAGCTTTTCTGCTGGTTCTTGTGGTGTTTGGTGCCTCCCATCATCCTCTGTTTGTTTGAGCACCTCCACATACTGTTTGGCTGGTGGGCATTGGGGGTGTGGCTTGGGGGTATATCTCAGTGTCTGCTAAGAGGAGAGTGCTCCTCTGCTTCCTGATCCTCATGTGAGCTGCATCCCCCTGCCATACTCTTCTGTCATGATGTTGAGCCTCACCTTGAGCCCCAAGGAATGGAGGCAGCCACCTATGGATGGAGATGTCTAAAACCATGGTCCCTTAAATAAATGTTTCCTCCGCTACCATTGTTCTGGTGGGGTCTTTTTGTCACAGCAGCAAAAAAGGCTGACTAAAACACTATGATTAGGATAAATTGAATAAAAGATATCTGTGGTATTTTTATTAAAAACTTTATATAAATTTAGTTCTCTCAAAACAAAGTGCAAATAAAAAATTCTTCTCATAGCAGTGTCAATGATTCCAACATGATTAAGCGCATTGCCCTTGGGAATTGAGAAGAAGTAAAATAAGATTTAGGACCCACAGGAATCCAAAGCTGGTTTTTAAGTGTAAGGAACATGATGGGAAATCATCACTTAAACCATATAATGGTCAGTCTGCTCATGCTGCTATAAAAAAGTACTGCAGACTGGTTAATTTACAGGTAATAAGCATTTATTGCTCACAGGTTTGGGGGCAGGAGGTCTAAGGTCAAAGCATGAGCATATTGGGTATCTGGTGGGGGCCTGGTCCCTGCTCCAAGATGAATCCTTGCATGGCAAGCTGTTTTCACCTGAGAGAGGGGAAGGGAAAGGTGTCCTCTCCATCTCTTTTACAAGGGAATGAATCCCACTCCTCAGGGCAGAGTCTTGAAGACTGAATCACCTCTTAACACCATCACAGTGGGGATCAGATTTCAAAATGAATTTTAGAGGCACTCATTCAGACAACAGCAGTGACATTTAGGCTGAGACTCAGAAGGTCATTTGCCAGCTAGTTCCAGAAAAATGGTAGATAGTGAGTTTGTGAAAAGGATCCAGGTCACGGGGGCTCCTGAGAATCACAGGGATGTTTCTAATCCTCTAACCATCTGCAAAACCAGTGTCAGAATTATAGGTAGCAGGCAATCTCATGGAATGTTTTTAATTTAGCATGTGGTGACCCATGAAAGTCCTTGATAAATACCTATTTACGACAGTCTCTGATAAATCATAGTGAATGTTATCAGTAATATAAATAATAGCTAATTCATCCAGCAGCATGTTTGTTTCTCTGCTTATCCATTTCTTTCCTCTTTCCCTTCCCTTCTACCTTCCTCTTTCTCCCTCTTTGTTTCCTCAGTTAATGCAGGATGGATGCCACTGCCTGGGAGAAAGCCAGAGGGTGGTTGCTGGTCTCTTTTGGTCAGCCTGTAAGATTGATATTGGATGGCTTTGAGGGCAGTGGCCTTACCACAGAATTTCAGAAAAATAAGCCAGGAGGGAGAGACCAGCAGGGTCAGCTAGGCATGGTTTCCCTTCCAAATGAAGCACTCACAAGCTGATCAAAGCAATCATTTATTTTCGGTGAAGAGTGGAAACAGCAGCCCGGCCGTCTGTGCTCCTCCGAGAGGCCCAGGTCTCCAGATTCAGTCATCCAATCTAATCTTCCCACAGGGTTGGAGCGTCAGACAGCATTTCAGGGACTTCTGGCACAGAGCCACAAGCTCTTCATTTTTCTGACAATGACGCATGCATTTCCCTTTAAGCTGGTAGCATTTCTCATCGAAAAACTCATTCTTGGCTACACAAGGGAAAGAGCCACATGGGTCAGTTGTCTTTCAGCTGTGACCAGGTAGTCACAGACATCAGCCAAGAGTTCTACACCATTGTCAGAATGCCTTACCCTGCCAGGAGATGAGGTGTCAGGGAACTATTTTCTGTATGTTATTTCTGTCTTTTTGTTACATGGGGTGAACGACCAGGGAGAATCCATTTGTCTTGCAGCATTTGCATTAGGCTATGTGGCGTCTTCAAGAAACAGATGCCAACATTCTTTTATCCAAATCTATTAAAGTAATGAGCAACTTGTTCCTATAAACTTCTCTGGAGTCAGGAGTTTCCTTCATACCCTCTAAGATTGCTACCTGGTGAAAGTATGGCAAGACCTGAGGTTGAAGAAAGGGCACGAGACTAGAGCAGAAAAGGATAGAAAGAAAGAAAAGAAATAGCAAAAGAAAACCCCTAAAGCTTACTGTGGTAGATAGAGTAACGTGGCTGCTTAGAAAGACTCGATCTGGGCCAGGCGCTGTGGTGCATGCCTGGAATCCCAGCTGCTCAGGAGGCTGAGGCAGGAGGATCATGAGTTCAGAGACAGCCTCAGCAACTTACCAGGGCTCTGAACAACTCAGTGAAACCCTGTTTCTATGTAAAATACAAAATAGGGTTGGGGATGTGGCTGTGTGGTTAAGTGCCCAGAGTTCAATCCCTTGTACAAAACAAAACAAAACAAACAAAACAAAAAAAAACAAAACAAACACACAAATACATAATCTGATTTCTCCTCCACATACCTTCAAAATGTCAACCATGGAAAGCAGGCACTTAGGGAAGGAAGAGGGAATGTGTCAGTACTGTTTCCTTAAGTCTTTTTCTCTCTCTCTCTTTAGTATGGGGACCCAACAGAGGGGTGTTTAACCATTGAGCCACATCCCCCTTTTTATGTTTTTATGTAGGGACAAAGTTTCTCTGAGCTGCTCAGGACCTTGCTAAGTTGCTGAGGCTGGTTTTGAACTTATGATCCTTCTGCCTTAGCTTCCTGAGCTGCTGGGATTATAGGTGTGCACCACCCTGTCCAGCTCCTTAAATCTTTCTCTGTTATTTTACATAGATTCCAGTTCTTACCTTAGTACTTATAGCAGCAGTAAGAGCATCTTGCTTCAAGTACAGACAGTTCATCTTACCTGGGTTAACATTTTAGAGTTGACCAATAGAGATCTTTGCAATGTTAGTGTCAGATGTAGGCAGATTACATTTAATGTCAACATATTAAAGTGTCTAATTAACATTAGGATAAGCTTAAATCTAGATGGATGAATGCCATCCCATGCACCGACCATTATCTAGCATCAGCACATCTGCTCAAATAGAAATACCCCCCCCCCCGTTTCAAAGCCCAGAGAACTCTGGATGACACCACAGTGGCATATATATTCTATTCTCTTCTCATACTGCAAGGTCATCTCAGGCTAAACGTAGAGGACTTTGTTTTGAAAGAGTCCTCCTGATGAGTCCAGTTCACAGTAATGGCCCAGGAGCCTCTAGAGGGAGAGAGCATCTGTGCCCACAGGGCTTCTAATGGACCATTACAGATAGCCATGTGGGACTTGGTGCACCTGTGTGTGAGTGCACACATAAAGTGCATTAAAAGTTGCTTTAATTTAGATACGTTAGGTAATTTTATTTTATGCAACCTTGCATTGTGTTGGCTAGTCACGGAATAAGACTCTGTGACCTGAAGTCACCGTGAGTTGAATTTGTGCCAGAAGCCAAAGATATAAAGATATATAGCTCCCTGGTACAAGCTCTACCTGGTACAAGTTGAACCTTGTGCCCTGATTTTGGGGAGATACAGCTGGAGCCACTGCAGCTGCCCAGAAGCAGGAGAATACGGCAGTGAGCCCTGGTGTGGGAGGAAATCACAACTATCTTTCATGGAGGCAAAACAGAGCCAGGCTCCAACCCTGGCTCCCTCCTGCACACACGTATGATTTTCACCTTGTTCATATTTATGTCTATAAAATATATGTAAAACAGACCCCCCCAAAAGCTCTGAATTCCATTGAGTAAGAGGTGGGGTCTCACTTTTCTTAAAGGCACTGGCTTTAGAGAACTGCATACGTTTTGTCATTGAAGCATTCACCATGGTGTCCAGCTTGTAGTTTGCTAAAGTAGGTTAACTGACAGCACCTACACCCTGCAGTTTGTCCTAATGCCATGACGTCAGAACGTGAATACATGCTTCTAACCCTATCCTCTTCCATTTCTCCCCCTCTCTAGCTCTCTTTCTTTCCTATTTTATTTTATAGCCTAACCAGATTTTAAAAGGCCAGAGTATTAAAATCTTTTTTAGACATTTTTGTGATTTTTTAGCATGGAATTGTGAACCAAAGGCATCTTTCCTGACTTCCCTTAATTTATTCCAACCTGTGACAACACTTCATGGACAATAATGGAAAATACAAAGGATTTATAGAGGGTGCAATTATAGAAGGAGGCATTGCCTTCTGCAGCAAGTGTTGCCACGCAGGGCCACCAGCCCACAGGTGCCCTTGCATTTGAGCTGTGATCAGCCTGGGTGGTCACACAGAGACCCTCTGTCAGAGCCACCTCCTCTGCTCACATTCCCTCCAAAGATGCTCATTTACCTGGAGCCAGAAAGAAGAGAGCAGCAAATAGAAAGAGGCCAGTCTTCATGGCTTGGAGAGGGTTGAGAGATCAGCACGATGTTCATGAGAAAAGGGCAGCAAACACCCCCATTTATCCATTTCTCCAGAACAAATGGCATCTTGATCAGTGAGGCTTGTCAAAAGCAGGCGTCTCTGTGCTCTGCCAGGTGCAGTCCACAGACCAGTGGGTGTCAGTCTGCAGCTCATCATTTCTCTGACCCTGGGAAGTTCCCAAGAGGGAAAATGGAGGTGAGGGGAGAACAGAGCACGCACACGTGGATGACCAGGTGTAGATACCTGAGGCAGAAAAACAATAGCTCCGTGGCTGGACATTCAGCTCCCATGCGGACTGTGCTCCTGATGGTTTCACGTGCAGGTGTGGGGTCGGGAAAACGGGTGCTGTGGGGCTTCAGCTAAGAGCTGGTGTCGGTGAAGTCCAGACTCAGTTTCTGTGCACTCGGCAAAGAGCCTGATCTAAGCACATTCTTCATTATTGTTTAGGAATGTAGATCTTGCTGAGTGCTTCCCATTTTACATGTTATATGCATCCCACACAACTTTGAGACTATTGGGTATGTGACTAAGATTTTCTGTGTGTGTGTATGTGTGTGTGTGTGTATGTGTGTGTATTATTTTAATTGTCCAAACATTTATGGAATTCTAAATATCCTTAGTAACCTTAAGCAAAAACAATGCCTTTAACAGTGAGATCATCTCCAATGAGGAAAAGCAATCCAAATGTTACAGTGCCACAGTCTGGCTGGGCACAAATCACGAGCCACTGAAGCAGGAACAAACTTTATTTCTGAACTCCACCAGCACACTCCACACACGCTCCTTGGGAATTCTCTCGAAAGCCACGCAGCTAGTCCAGGAACAAGCAACCAGAAATATCCCTCCTCTGGCACTTCCCCAACCAATGGGAACTCTCTGGGAATCCCTGTGAGAACTCAACTGGAACTCAATGGGAACTCCGTGAGAACTCGCTGGCATCACCTCTCAACCACTACTTCTGGCAAAAATGCCATGTGTCATCCCGACTTGGTTGTGGCCCTCAACATCTCCCCCCTTCTGTTTAATTAAACAACAAGCAATGTGGCTTAGGGACCGTCCCTGTTAGGCTGTCCAATACTACACATGGTTCTTACCCGTCATCGGATGAGCTGACTTCTAGGCGTCAGCCTCCAATCTTAGGTTGGTACCACTGCAATTGGATCATACCCATCACTGACTACCGGTCCAGCATACAGCCATACTTGTGGATAGGCCTTTGCACCAGTGAGGGGGTGAGGTTCTTTGCCTCACCCCTGTTGGCCCCCAAATTTTAGACCATCACTAGCAGAAGGGAGGAGGATACAGAAATGCCATGACACCAAGCCAATTGATGGCTCCTTTGGAAAAATTGTATCACCGGTGACACCATCAGCAAAAATACGCCAGCACTACCACAATTCGCTGCACCAACAGATAGTTCACAATGCATACAAGTGATACATAGTCCAGGCAAGTTCTGCAAGCAGTTCAAAGCAGAGGAATCCATCAATATGTCCATTTCCTCCCAAAGTAAATTGACTCCTTGATTGAGCATTACTTATTGAGTTATTATTCATTGATGCATCAGTTTATACAGTTTGTTGTGATAACTATCGAAGAAGCTGTAGTTTGGTTTTCACCGGTACTGGGATGAAGATAGGAATTCTGGCAATGATGCTAAAAAAAATTATATAACATTCCAACAGGTACTAAGAAAACAATTTTCTGAACAATTTACATTATCCTGAACAGAATTATTAAATACAATGAAAAGGAAAGGTGAAAGTAAACAAACAGTTCTGTTAACCTCCTTATTTGTTCACATATTAAAACAATCCTCAACAGCTGTTTACCCAATTTAAATTAAACCATTAAAATCACATGAATAAAAAAAATTCAGATCCATTTTTTCATGAGCGCTCCTCATATATGATCTATGGACATATGCACACACAGACATACAACACAAAACACAAGTGTGCACACATAACATACAACACATAAGACAATAGTAAAGGCCTTGTAGCCTTACACAGGTGAAATCTCCATTGCAATGTTTAAAAACTCCACAGTCAAAAAATAAAACTGATCAGAAAACCAGTAACCTAGGTCTGTATGAGCTCAACAAATAAAATAGAACTTTATGATGTGGGAAAAGGCAATAATAAAATAGATATTGAAAAAAGCATCCTGGTTACCACCTGGGTTTGACTCTTTTTTGGATATCCCATCCTTTTTTTTTTTGTAACTTGCATATGGGTCTGAAGGTATTCCCACAAGCAAGCCTCAAAGTTTTTTACATTTGAAATAGGCTTTAATGGTGTTCATTATTCATTAGCCTCCAGGTGTGGGAGAACCACTGTTGCAGATGTAAGAATAGCCAAGCTGGAGCTCTGGATATCAGCTGTTATGGATTTGATACAAATCATCTTCTTTTTGGTCTGTAGAAATTGCTTTGGTTAGTCTCTCTGGAATACAAATCGGCTGCTGTTCTCCCTGTGCAAACACACAGACAGAACCCCTACTCCAGACAATCACTGGGTCAGGACCTTTCCATTGTCCTGTTAGAATATCCTTCCAAAGTACCTGAGGCTTATGTACATTTTTTGGACACATATGCCTTTCTGCAGCACTAAGCCCTGATGAATCCAAATTTAAAAAGTTTAGAGTAAAAAGGGATATTTTAAGTTTATCTTTGGGGGATATATACCCCTTTCCAATGCCCTCTTTTTGCTTTAATAAGTACATTTTAATAGTTTGATGAGCTCTTTCAACTATGCCTTGTCCCTGTGGATTGTATGGGATTCCTGTTATGTGAGTAATGCCAAATGATGAGCAAAATTGTTTAAAAGAGGTAGAAATATAACCAGGACCATTACTATTTTTAACTGTTTTGGAACACCCACAGTGGCAAAATTTTGTAAGCAATGAGCTATAATATCTTTAGATTTTTCTCTGGCATGAAGGGAGCCCATCAAAAATCTGGAAGAAGTATCAACTGTAACATGCAAATATTTTAATTTTCCAAATTCTGGCAAGTGTGTGACATCCATCTGCCAAATATGGTTAGGTATCAGTCCTCTAGGATTGACTCCAAGATTAACTTGTGGTAAAAAGGTCACACAATTTTGACATTGTTTTATTATTTGTCTAGCTTGTTCCTTAGTTATTTTAAAATGCTTTTGTAAAGTATTAGCATTGACATGGAACCTTTTATGAAAATTTGTAGCTTCTTCTAGTGTAGAGAAAATATGTATGTCATGTGTAGCTTTATCTGCTAAATTGTTGCCCAAACTAAGGGCTCCAGGCAATCCTGTATGTGCTCTGATATGTCCTATAAAGAATGGATCTTTTCTGTCCCAGATTAAACTTTGTATAGTGGAAAACAAAGAGAAAACAGTAGAGGAAGGGGAAATCCTACCAGCATCTTCAAGGGATACTATAGCATTAACCATATACTGACTATCAGAAAATAAATTAAATACGGAATCTTTAAACATCACAAAAGCTTGTAATACTGCATTAAGCTCTACCATTTGAGCTGACTGTTTGGTTACTAAAAATGTAAACATTTGATCAGGGGTAACTACTGCTGCTGTACCATTATTTGACCCATCAGTGAATACATTTGGAGCATTCATGATAGGTGTTTTTCTTGTCACTTTTGGGAAAACTACAGAATGCGAAGACCAAAAAGACAATAAAGGATTAGATGGTAAGTGATTATCAAATGAAACATTAGATTTACACATGATTATTGCCCAAGTATTTAACTCATTAGCTAACTCATCAATTTGATACATAGTATATGGAGTAATAATTTTATTGGGAGAAATTCCAAACACTCCCTTTGCTGCTTTTATTCCTTTGAGTATTAATTGTCCTACAGCCTCAGGATACCTAGTAAGAATAGTGTTAGGAGAATAAGATAAATGTATCCACAATAATGGACCTTCTTGCTAAAATACTCCTGTAGGAATATTTTTTTGTTGGTAGTACAATAAATAATAAAGGCAAACTTATATCAATTCTATCCAAATGCATACTTTCCATATATGTTTCAATAATTTTTAATGCCTTTCTTGTTTCAGGTGTTAACATGCGGGGTGAATTTGGATCTGATGGACCTTTTAGGATATCAAATAAAGGTCCCAACTCTCCTGTTGGTATGTCTAGATAAGGCCTTATCCAATTTATATCTCCTAATAACCTTTGAAAGTCATTCAGTGATTTGAGTTGATCTACTCGTATTTGAATTTTTGGTGGACGGACCATGGTTGAGGATAATAGAACCCCTAAATAATTAATTAGAAAATTTAATTGTACTTTATCTATTGCTATCTCTAGATTATAATTTTTTAATAAGTTTGTAAGTGTGGCATAACATTCTAGCAATGTGTTTTTATCTTTGTGTGCTAACAATACATCATCCATATAGTGAAATATTTGTAGTTCAGGATTTTGATTTCTAAGTGGGTGGATTGCTTTGTTAACATAAATTTGACACATAGTTGGGCTGTTAGGTATCCCTTGAGGGAGTACTTTCCATTCATATCTCTGATCAGGACCTTCATGATTCAGTGCAGGGATAGTAAATGCAAAACGTGGACTATCCTCAGGATGAATTGGAATTGAAAAAAAAAATCTTTAATATCTGTAGCTAAAACATACCAGGTTTTTGGCAAAGCAGACAATTGAGGAATCCCTGATTGAGCAGGTCCCATAATAACCATCTCATTATTAATGGCTCTTAAATTTTACAATAATCCCCATTTACCAGATTTCTTTTTAATGACAAAAATGGGAGTATTATAGGGAGATACGGAAGGTTGTATATGTCCCTCCGCTAATTGTTGTTTGACCAGGTCATGGGCTGCTTCTATCTTTTCTTTAGTCAGGTGCCACTGAGGAACCCATACTGGTCTTTCTGATTTCCAAATAATTTTTACTGCCTCAGTGACCCCTTCTGAAAACCCAATCCATGTCTATTTATTC